CATTGCGACAAACGCGGCGCATTTTCACCCGACGATTGAGCATGCACCCTTGCACCAAATTGTACCCTTATCGGGCCATATTTGACAAAACTGTGCGAGTTGCGGCAAAAATGGCGTGTTGTGACCAATGTGACGCCTCGCGGCAAACGCGGTGCATTTGTAAATTCCTATCACAAACTGTTGCCATTCAACGAAAATCAGCACATTCTCTCGCCACTTTTTATTCAAATTAAAACTTGCCGATCTGCCAATGCGAGGCACTCGCCACCGATCGGCATGCATTTAGTCCGCAAAGTTTGTCGACCCCGGCTCTCAATGAAGATCTACGAACCGATCAAAATTTCATTGGTGTTCTTCCAGCGCGCCCCACGCGCGAACCGTGTACCCCAGCGAGTCGAAACCTAGAAAAGGCGCTGACCCACTCTGTCACCTAGAAGGTGTGCAAATTTCAACCCCCTACGATATACCGTCTGCCCTGTAGGCCGGCTAAATTGAACCCACTACACGGCGTGGCGGACAAACAGACAGACAGACAGATGGATCCTGTTTAAATAGTAATATAGACAAGCGGCTGCGCCACTTGCTTTGCTGCGTGGTAGGAAACAATTGCGGCACCAGCCAATTTGCTTTCGAATGGTGTTCGATTCAAATCGATGTGTTGGCTAGAAGCATAGATATGGACGGAAATGTGAAGATAATTAAAAAAGAACTGTTCTGAGGGCTTCGTTGGATGAAAGTGGGGTGGTACGGGGTCAAGTCGGGTCAAAGGGGTCAGCCCCGGTCACTTTGGGTCAGGCCAGGTCACCTAGGTCACCTCTCGTCCGATGGGATCAGCCCGGGCCACTGTTCTACTTTTGCCTCCACCACTACCCCTACCCCTACCACTACCACTACCCCTACCACTACCCCTACCCCTACCACTACTCCTACCACTACCCCCTACCACTACCCCTACCACTACCCCTACCCCTACCCCTACCACTACCACTACCACTACCACTACCCCTACCCCTACCACTACTACTACCCATACTCCTACCCCTACCACTACCCCTACCCCTACTACTACCCCTACCACTACCACTACCACTACCCCTACTACTACCCCTACCACTACACCTACCCCTACCACTACTCCTACCACTACTCCTACCACTACCACTACCCTACCCCTACTCCTACCCCTACCTCTACCCTACCCCTACCACTACCCCTACCACTACCACTACCACTACCTACCACTGGGTCATGTCAGGTCACATAAAAATTTGATCAAAATTTTTTTTTTTTTAATCGGGCTTTAATAGTTATTCTATCCCTTCTCCTATTCGTGCCATTCCATTACGCTTAATCTTATTGGTCGGAAATGGCGCATTGTGACAAATGTTGCGCATTGCGGCAAATACGGCGCACTTTCACCCGGCGATTAAGCATGCATCTTGGCACCAAATTGTACCCTTATCGGACCATATTTGACAAAACTGTGCGATTTACGACGAAGATGGAGCCTTGTGACCAATGTGACGCATTGCGGCAAACGCGGTGCGTTTTTATACTTGTATCACAAACCCTTCCCATTGAACGAAAATCAACACATTCTCTCGCCACTATTTATTCAAATTAAAACTTGCCCATCCGCCAATGTGTGGGACCGATTCCCTTCTTCCATATCATGATAAAGAGAGTACACGTTCAAGCTTTGTTACATAGAAATAGCCGTCACTTTCCCCCACGTGTCGGCACCGTCCACCGACCCAGCGGGTCGGCGGACCGGTCCTTGATTGTGCAACCACCTTGTATATAACGCACAGGCACTGGCGAATCAGAATCAGAACCACTGTTGGAATACAAGTCTCGGCCCGCTCAGTCTTCTCTCCTTCCGCGCCTCCGCGATAATGGTGGCAGCGGCGGTCGAGGGGACTTGTGCCCCTCACCACGGACCCCAGCCTCTACATCTGCACTGACATCGCAGACTGGTTAGTCCGTGCTCCGTGACAGTGTATCGCCCCTACGTCACGTCATCGACTAGGGAGCTGACCATCCTGGACTCGTCATCGTCCGACATCACCGTCTCCAGTGAGTAGCTCTGCCCGGCAATACCATCTGCCCATGCGGCAACGTCATCAGCTACCCTGGACTACTACGGAGCCCGCCGACAGCGCACGGCTCATCAGCCCGCGCCGTCCTCCTCAGCATCATCGAGTGATGGACGCCACCTCGCTGAAGGACTCAAGATCGGAGGAGAGAAGAGAAGAGAAAAAAAATATCAACGCTAAATTCAAGACAAATTGACACCCAAAATCAAGACAATTCACCCATTATGAACTTTTGCTGTATTTTCGTTAAAAAGTGACAGTGAAATTGTGCTGTGAAATTTGTTTTAACTTCGATGTGTTTCACAAACCGTACTGTTTCATTATCCGTTTTCGTCAGTGTTCTGTCGTTTGTTGCGCTTCATTGTGGTTGCTCACCCCAAAATTCACGGAGAAATTGCAAATGCGCTTAATTTTTACCTGCATTTTGCAGTGTCACTTTGACACTAATAAGCATAAAAAGAGCATATTCTGAAGTCGGTATGAACATTCAAATACGTTAATCGTGGTCAATTCACTGAAATTATATTGTATTGATATTCGGCCAGAGATGCCGAGGGCCATGGAGATGCCCAGGGACGGTCCCCGCCAAGAGTGCGGAGGGATCGCCCGGTAGTAGGTGTAATTGTCACGAAACTTACTTATCTGTTCATACCATTTTGTGATACGCTCATATGGAAATTTCTTTCTCCGTCAGCTAAACGTTTCCTCTCTTTGTTATGATCGCTTCGGTTCCCTACGCTTCCCTGGGGGAGGGAAGATAATGTGGGACCGATTCCCTTCTTCCATATCATGATAAAGAGAGTACACGTTCAAGCTTTGTTACATAGAAATAGCCGTCACTTTCCCCCACGTGTCGGCACCGTCCACCGACCCAGCGGGTCGGCGGACCGGTCCTTGATTGTGCAACCACCTTGTATATAACGCACAGGCACTGGCGAATCAGAATCAGAACCACAGTTACAATACAAGTCTCGGCCCGCTCAGTCGTCTCTCCATCCGCGCCTCCGCGATAAATGCGAGGCACTCGCCGCCGATCGGCATGCATTTAGCTCACAAAGTTTGTCGACCCCGGCTCTCAATGAAGATCTACGAACCGATCAAAATTCCATTGGCGTTCTTCCAGCGCGCCCCACGCGCGAACCATACACCCCAGCGAGCCGAAACCTAGAAAAGGCACTGACCCGTTCTGTCACCTATAAGGTGTGCAAATTTCAACCCCCTACGATATACCGTCTGCCCTGTAGGCCGGCTAAATTGAACCCACTACACGGCGTGGCGGACAAACAGACAGACGGATCCTGTTCAAATAGTAATATAGATTTCGAATCCCTTGTTACCCTCAGGGGGGCGACACGGCTATTCACGCAATGTATTCATTTGCGGGCCCCGCGGGGCCTCGCGATGACGCGGCTGGAGGCAACCACTCAGCGCGCTAGGATCCTTCTGGCGGTGCCGGACGCCGTAAGGTGTGCAATGAATGGGCGGGCAGACAGAGATGAGGTATGTATTGAATTTGAAATGACATCATGAGCAATTGGATGGGGAGAGAGAACGTTTCTAATGGAGCTGGGGATGGGGGAAAACCAAAAATATCACGGTCGGTTCAGTGCTCCGACGGGGCTGGGCGCCGTACGGTGCGTAGTAATTTAGACGGGCAGACAGAGATGAGTTATCGGATTCGGCTCTCTGGTGGGATTTTAAGACGTTTTTAGCTAAGCTCAGGGCGGGGCAACCCGCTGGCGGATGCAAGGGAAGGCATTTGAGGCCAATGTTATCCCCCACAGGCCCACATCCGGGGCAGCGTCCGAAATCGTTTTTCGAGAATAAAACGAAAAATTCACAACTTTTATGAGGAAAAGTGTATTGATAGAAGTGCACAGTAGTGCGCAAGCAATCGAAATCCGATGTTTTTTTTTTTAATTCACAGAAACCTTATTTAGGGTATATGCCCCCCGATGTGTTCAAGACCGCTTCCTGGATCCGCCAATTAAGAATATGTCACGGTCGATTATCGAGCTTCGATGGGACTGGGCGCTGTATGCGTCGTACCTACAATGAAGAGGCGTACAGACACCTCACCCCATATCCTACTGCTCTACCCGTGCCTCTGGGTGAAGCACTGAAGCATCACGGAAGCCCACAGGACCTGCGAGTCGACGAGGTGGCCGCCGGATACTGCAGCTCCCTGGAGTTGCCCGGGACCGAGGGTTTAATCTAACAAGGGCCTTGATCTAACAGTAGTAATTTTCACTGGTGGTGAATCCTCGTAATGTAGAGATAATATCCTCAAGGACCTCCGTTACGATTTTATATTCCTAAACAATATGGCTGACCAATTATGCTTGCCTACGTTCAGGCATTATCCCTGATGCTTATCCGCCCACTACAACATGTGTTGTCTGTCAATCAACCATCGCTCGACGACGGGATCAATTCTAACCATCGGTATACTCGGTTGTCAATTCACCCACCCCGTTTCCCTAAAAATAGACGGGTCAGACTCGGCCTGGGTCCTAACGAGTCCTACAGTAGAGTCCTACTGTAGAATCGCCAGGGACGGGGTCGGGTCGCCGTTATTGCACCGGTCTTAGCGTCTTTTGGTACATGTAGAGTAGACGGCTTCGACCACGGACGTAGGACCGTTCTACGAATGTCCGCACCATCCAGGCCTAAGATGCGTCGAGCTTTATAACAATGCAGTCTAGATCAATCAATATAACCATGGTGGTATGCAAACGTTAAAATCTCTCCCCGGCTCCCGCAACGTCCAACGCTCCTCCGTCATGGATTAGAGACCCTCCGTTATACGCTCGCTCGATGCGTCCGCCGAGCCGGCTTGCCTCCAATGACGTCATCGGCCGGCCGGCGGCGTTCAAGGTCAAACGGCTGGTGTCCTTACCTGGAGTTCTATAGCCTTGGTTACCCTCAGTTACCCTGTCTCACGTCAGAATATTTGCAGAGTGAATAGAAAGGGCGCAGGGTGTATAAATAAGAAAGGGTATGGATGAATCTGATATCATATCATGCTATCATAGTAATGTTGATATGGCCTTGTGGATGAATAACGATCTTGATCTTCACGCATTTCATTTGATGCGTGAAGATCGTTCATTTGATTTGGTGCTGCTCTTTTGCTGGATATCAGAGCATCAGCACAGGATAACAATAAGGCACTGAGTTCTCTATATACTGCGCAATAAGGGAGGTATTTAGCATTGATGGGTTCAGGTCAAGGTTGTGATGCAATGCCATGCTGCATGTTGTTCGTGGTATTTTTTATTGAGTCCTGCTGTAAACTATCATCTGTATTATATTTTCTTGATCATTTCTTTTTATTTTCTTCTCTCAGTGGTACAAAGAGGAAATGGCAGCAGCACTGAGTCCGCCAAGAACAAGTGGCGATGGCATGGAGTCTGCGGTCAGCAACCGACCTGCTGACTGCCCACTGTTGGAGCCAGTGGAGCAGCAGATGCTGAAGATAATTACAGACCAGCGATTGCAGGGAGCATCTCTGTCTGACATTCTAGGAGATCTGGAGCTGGCCTCTGGTGTGGATCAACCAATCTTCAGACTGGCACCAGCCATTGAGCAAAGGGTCAGTTTCTGAGAGGGATATGGATAGAAGATTGCAGTTTTATTCATGGAACAATAGGTTCAAGAGCTTTTCACTAAGATGACTTTTAGCATCTAATTATTAATTTTATCAGTAGGTAGGTACCAAACTTATATGGCTGTATTTGGAAACATGTTGATCAACTTTTCAATGCTGTACGAAAATATACCACAGCCTTCTGAAGGGTCTTTTTCCTTGTCAATCGTGTCACATATTTATGGCTCAAATTATGTAGAAGCTAGACCACCTAATGGATGCTTCTCAGCAATCAGCATGTCCTCTGTCCTTCACTAATAGTTGCTTTCTTTCCCTAGTCTGCTGCACATCACCCAGCCTCAAGAACCACTGCTGTACCGGCGATTCCCACCAGTCCCAGCGGCGGAGCGCGGGAGGCGCGTTTCGTCCCGTACGAGCCGTACCCGGGCTGCACCTCTCCTCTAACCGCCGGCGCTGCTGAGGCCGCGTCTCGCCCGGTCGAGTCGGGTCCCCGTCGAGTAAGCGGCGAGAGCGACGGGTCGGCGCCGTCGGCCGCGGCCGTGGCGGCGGCGGCGGCGAGCGCTGCCCCAGCCGCGCCGGAGGAGGAGGATGTTCGCATCACGAAACTACGGAGGGAGAAGGATGAGCTGCAGCGCGAGCTGAACGTCGCCATGGAGGTGGGTGAATTAGCATCGGAGTCTGAATTGCGTTATTAACAGTGGAGGCCTTGACTACACTGAGATAATAATATGTGTTTAAAATCGTCACGTAATTGATGATAGTAATGTCGCACTTCACGCTTTCGCCGATATTTTTGGAAAAAAAATAACGTTAAAATCATTCAGAAGTCGCAATTATCTTGAATAATGTTGATGACATAGGTATGACAAATTAATTATTAGCCTGACTGCAGCTAGCCTCCCCACCTACTCCTCTCTCGGCCCTCCTTCCACTGACTCCATCTCCACCCCCAGGTGACGGCCGAGCTCAAGAAGCTGCTGGTCGCCTCGATCGGCGAAGACATCGAGTCGCGGCTACACCTACTCACAGAGGACAAGGCCCACCTGGCGCAGCTGGTGCGCACGTTTTCCGCCCAGGCCGCCCAGGAGGGCGAGGGACGTGACCAGCTCTCCATACAGTGCGATGTCTGGAGGTCCAAGTTTATGGCCTGCAGGTGAGGATGGTTGTCGGTTGGTCGGGAGGCTATTTAAGCGTAATTGGCCATTTGCACTAAGCAAACTGTACCGGAATCTGTGTGAAATGTTGTATTTTTTGCTTACTGATTTATCCATATCGGATTTAGCAGCTGGGCATGCGGTTACTGCAGGAACTACTGCAGTGCAGTAGCTCCTTCCAGGGCCTTGACTTGTAACTGCGAATTCCCTGCGATCGATCTGGTAGCTGAGGTAGCTAGCTGAAGGACGGTGCTGTGAGTGAGTGACCGTGACTGCACCCCCTCCCCTTCCCCCGCAGTCTAATGGTGGACGAGCTGGCCGGCTGGAAGGCAGTACTCGGTCGCCGCTGCCGTGAGTCGGAGGCGGCTCTGAAGGCGCTGCTGGAGGAGAGACGTCAGATCGCTGACCAGCTGCGCGCCTCCGCCAGGTCAGTCCCCAGGCCCGTGTTACTCTCTCGCTGCCACACTTCGTGCCGATAGTAGCATTTTATGCGCATTTCATACGATTTTTGCAGAGTTCGGCAGTCAACCATTATTGATGAATATAAAGTTAGCCTGAATCTTGACTGAGCATGAATACTTAAGTGTTTTCAATGAGTAATTTTGGGATAATGCTGTTGGTTATTTTGAAATCGTTCGATTCATGTTTATGATAATTCTCTTATGATTCGTATGATTCGTTCATGATTCGTATGATTCCTTCTCGTTCCCCAGGTCTCTGACCGCTGTGCGGGACGCGTTCGACCCCCTGTCGGCCCAGTCAGGCCTGGGCTCACCAGACGGAGACGCCGTACAGCTGGCTGAGCGAGTGACCCAGCTGAGTGGAGCGCTGCACGAGCGGCTGCTGGGCCGGCCGCCGGCGCCCGCCCCGGCCCCCGGTCAGGGACAGACTGAGGAGTCGGCACAGACGCACGTACAGACACCCGCTGAGGAGGCGGCTGAGAAGGTGGGTACTGGGTAGGGATGATAGAGTTGTGGTCTACCGTCTCTTTATTGTGAGTGACGCTCAATATGCTGGGGACGGATTAATCATCAGTCCCGTTTTGTGTATTCGGGTTTACAGGTGCGTTGGCTGGGTGGTCATTTACCCTGGGAATGAAGTATTTTGCTGAGACGTGCAGCTGTACTTAACTTAGGAGGACGTTGTATAACCGCGCGCCCCTACTTTCGATAGCCTGATTACTTTCGGCGGTATATGAATGTGGTAGTCTCTTACTCTCGCTAATCGCTGAAATTTTGTTTGTATTCATGTTCTGTGACGGCCAGAGTTTATTCTGAGTGGTTAACTAATGGATCATCCAGCCTCCAGTCTGATTTTCAGTCATGTGTCGCCCATGGCCTGCCGCTGGTGATTTGAATGAATGACTAACTCGCCCCATCTTTCCACAGCTGCTATCGACGTCGGCGTGTTACCAGTACCAGGCGCAGCGGGACTCCTGCCGGGACCGCGGCATGGCCGACCGGTTCCACCCGCAGGCGCGCCTCGAGCACCTCACCATGACGTGCTGCACCCACTGCAGCGGCGACATCTATGTGGTGTGATGAGAACCAGCGGTTGGCCGCGCCGCCGCTAACTGGCGCTGTGAGCACGACTCGCACCGGCCGAAAAAAAAGGCGAGTCTCTTGAACTGTGCGTCGTGTCCAGACGAAGTGAGAATCGCTGGTTCTGTGGATGTGCCTATTTGTTGCAGCTAAGAAATCGTGCACACGTTTGGTAGGGGTTACACCTCTCCCTTTGCTGGGTATAGATCATTTCACTTTTCAGACATTCTAGAATGATTTCGTGATGCATTCGTGGAAATAGCCGTCAAGTTCGCCGTTCCGTGCTTCTATCCTCAGGATACTGAAATCCTTCTCCTCCACGCCGCAACCTCTCTCCGGGCTGGACAGGCAACTTTATCTCATGCGGGCTGCTCCCTTGGAGCGGCACCGCTGCTCCCGAGGGAGCGCACCCCGTAGCCGGGTGCAGTGAGTGCCTTGGGACTGGGTGGCCTGTCCTCTGGACGGGCTCAGCCCCGGCGACTCACTAGGATGCCTGCCCAGACCAATGTCTCCCCCTATATCCTATCATCCTCCCGGTCCTGAAATGGTCTCATTGGACCGAAAGGGCCTAACCCAACAAAACAAACAAGCCGTCAAGTTATGCGTATGCTATTTTGGTTACAGGTAGAATTGTTACAAAAAAAGCAAAAAAAAACTGTGTTGGATCACTAAGAGAAGTGGCGATCTGGATTATGAAAGTAATGTTTGGTCCCAGACCCTGGAGGTCTGCTATGCAAGGTTTTGTACTGTCATGGGTTAGATTGGGTACGTAGCACTTAGCAGAGGTTTTGTACTGTCATGGGTTAGATTGGGTACGTAGCAGCGGTACTTGTTATAGACACTGGGTCCGGAGTTGGGTTATAGACTTGAAACAGGGCTAGGTGTTATTACATCTGTATATTTTTATGGGATGCGAGCATTTGCTGTCCTTAATTCTTATGCGTATGTAGACATATGTATGATACGTTAGGAACTCAGGCAATATTTATATATTAGTTCCTGAATTACTTAACCGTAGTTACCATGCAACTTTGAAAGTGCTCAGTTCTGATGGGTAAAACAACAAAAAGTTTTCGTTTTCCACAGGGTGCACTTAGGCTACGGGGAGCTACCATTACAGTTATGTTATGCTTTAAGGCGATCCGAATGAACTTTTTTGTTTATTTGATCATATATTTGTTATTTAACTGCAAATTTATTCAGTTTCATTGCATAGTTTTTGTATGTTATAGGTAAGCACGTCTTGTTTTGTTATCGAATGTTATGGGTTTGCGGTGTATAATTGTTTTGCACGTTGGCAGGATCAAATCGGAATCTACTTACCTAACATGCTCATTTTAGCGGGATTTTATATGCGAGCTCGCTCTGAGTACGACTTCTTTCGTAAGCGTGCGTGCTTTGACCGTTATTTTTGCACGCGTTGAATGGCACGGTGAACACACGAACAATATCACCTTCTGGCGGCTGTGATGAGCTTATATACCTACTGGATGTGATGTTGTTATGTGTCGGTCAGTTCGTCCCAGGTACGTTCCCTAACCATCTCCGCGTACTAACTAAATAAACCCCTGTGCCGCGATTTACTGCTGTGTGAAAATGTGATGACTGTCGGCCGTCGTCAAATAATACACCGCGCGTGGTGTTTTGACGAGGGCAGGTGACTGGAAATACGCAGTTTGTCTCGAATGCACCGGCCCGTATATTTATGTGGAATACATGGCTTTATCACTTCATGCAAATACAATTGTTCCGAGACCTTTGTATTTTATCAAGTTGAGTAACGTAGTAACATATTCAAACATGCTATTCAGATTCACCCTCATATGACGTCTACCATTACCTACATCTGTGTCTGGCCAATCGTAAAACATTAAACGGAAAATCATGTAGTCCATCTCCCTTACTCCCTCTTCTGATGCTGCCTCAGACATCCCCGGTGTTTTCCCTCCGTTCGACACCCTCCCCGTCCACCCCTACCGGCGGCGCGTGACCAAATAGTGGCATCCCGCGGCCGCCCGTGTCACGGGACACTCGAGCCTCCCGACCGGCGGCGGCGGCCGATTCGCTGCCCATTAGGCGTCTGTTTGCCGTGCAATTTGCTGGGCGGCTCGGCGGGCCGGCCCGGGCGGCGGCGCGGCGCGGCGATCGATCTGTCTGCGCGCCGCTTTGGCCGCATCCTCCTGGGAACGGGCGCACCTGGAGTGAGGAGACATCGACCGTTCCCAGCGCCGGCAGACGCCATCTTTACCGACGCCGACGACGTCTCCGGCGGCTACAGCGCGCCCCGCGGCACGGACAATGTGGGAATGTTCCGGAGTGCATGGTGGTCGGAAACTATTTTCCAGCTAGAGAAATGTGGTGTACAAGTTTTTTCACATCCTCCACGGGAGTAGCGGCAGTGCTTTGAGCAACACTTGAATTCCCTGAGCCGCTTCATTTTCATTTAGTTTTATTTTGAAGAAAAAAAATCGAATAGCACAATGACTCGATTGCTCATTGCAAAAAAAAAACTGATGATGAATGTCAATCTCTGTGTAATCCGACCATAGGCCTGAGCCGCCTGAGTGAGTTTCCTGACATCAGTTAACCAAACTATAGCCGATAGGCAAACGGAAAATCTGACTTCGAAACCCTACGGATTCACAGACAGATTTCAGCTTATCATGAGCACAGCACGTTTGACGTTACCTTAACCTACAGTAGTTACCTACCTCACCATATCTCGGTGTTTTGTTTCGCTAATCTCACCAAGCAAAGCTCGTCGTTCTACCGTGTTTGCGTTTGATCTTAGTCTGATTGAGGAGCGACTGTGTGTCATTCCGCTAACAAAAGCCATGCGCAGTCTCAGAAACAGGAATGTCCCGTGCGGCGAAACGTTGACATGGTGACCTATCTCAACATAGTAGCGCCTAACATCAGGTGTGTGATCAATTACATCACCACGTGTATCGGTATGAGATCAAGTTCTGCGGCAAGTGTTTCAGTGACCTGTTTGATTTCATGGTTTCATGGTCAATAAGCGAAAGCAATAATGCAGGTCGCGAAGCTGCCACTGCCTACCCATTACATTTTACTAGCGCATCCGCGGACCGCGAGACGCTCGGCCGTCGGCTTCTCTATTCCAGTGCCCATTGCCCAGCGGATGCACGCCGGCACAGCATACTTTCAGGCGTTCGTCACTAGTGCCATCTATCGGCAGTTATATAAGTGTGTCGGCGATACGGCTGTACTTTATTTTGTTGTCGTTTTTTATTGAGACCATTGGCTTGCGTCTGTGAAGATCATTTCAGTGTTGTGGAATTAGAGGATAACCGGATAAGGTAGACTCTGAAATGTCCTAATCACGTGAACTGAGTGGTACGCCGCACTCCGCAGCCCAAGTCGGCTGAGCCCGTCCACTCAGGTCAAGGCCTGTTTCACTAAAAACTTGTATTTACAAGTGTTTGTAGTTTACAATTCATAAGTATTTTTACCAACTACGTAAAAACCGATTTCACTAAGCTTCATCGCCAGTGGCACCTCCGATAAGAAAATGTTTGCAAATAAACTTGTAAACAGTAAAAATGCTTTTAATCAAGAACTATAGCATGTTAAAGATATTGCTTCTTTGTATCAAATATTGTCTAGTATTCATGTCAAAAGCTGCCTAATTAAATTATAAATAATGATGCTGTTGGAAAAAGAAATAAATGATAATTCACATTGTCCTTTTATTGAAAGAAAATAACACGCAAAACATTTGACAGCAGAAGACTGTTGAATGCAATTATGGCGCGCGAATGACAAAACATGACGATATTTTAATACCGATTAGTTTGCTTCTTAGGGTGTGTGCTAAGTAAAAATTGAGCATGAAACGACTCAACAAAGCATAGTTGTTCTAAATATATGACTGTTTTGCATTATTGCACAAAAAGTATCAAAATTCCGAATGTCAAGACCACTGGAATTTCAGGTTTGTAATCACGATGTTTTCTTTCAAGTTTCTGGTCTTCGTGAAACAGAAAGTTTGCGATTCCCATGTTTTCTAGCAAACTTTTTCTTGTAAAAAAGTTTGCAAATTTTAAACTCAAAATTCATGTTCAAAGGTTTCGTGAAATCCAAATCTCAAATGTTGGTAATTATTTCTTGTAAACTCAAGCTTTTTCTTTGTAAATACAAGTTTTATTTGTTAGTGAAACAGACCTCTGATCCCAACGGTCAGTGCTCTCCCGGCATCCCCTGTGATGTCCCAAAGTTCACTTGCAGAATGACCAGTGCCGTCGAGATTTGAGGCTGTTGTCTCTAAGATATCCAGGAGCCTGCTTCTAACAGGGTTTATACGGTTCAACGCAATAGATAGTGAACTGGTTATCGTCGTTCTTCTACATTCGATGCACTGACGCGTCTAAAACAATCCCGAAACTGCATGTTATGGAAAGCAGTATGCATGTATTACCGGTTTGAAGAAGGAACTCAAAGAACCATCGAAAAGCTCCCATTGACCGGTCAGCTATCCATACACATCTACATATATCGATTTCACTTATCGGGCCGGGACTTTTTCGTAAGCGTATCAGATAATCACATCTCAAGCAAATTAAAATGTACAAGTTAATAATTAGAAAAAAAAAAAAACAGATAAATCTACCCGAACACCCGCAACCTGCGGCACAAAGAACTGCCAACCAATTGCACAATGACTAGACAAGAATGACCATACGGTCTTGCATGCCGGTATGGAATGTCGGCGTCGTTGATAATTTACGCAACCCAGTTATGACTATCCCATCACAAGCTCTTCGAATATGTATCCCAGTGCCGTTTGCTTTACAAGCTACCCCACTGAATCCGGCCTCCTGACACTTTCAGGCTATTTACCCATCACTCATGATGTTTGGAGCGATATTTACTCCTCATCACACGACCGGTGTTTTCGATTGTCACAATATCGGAATACACACATCTGGAACATCGAAGTTCATGCATGATATGTCTAAAAACCGCTCCGTTCCAGTTATACACTTTTACCATTCACATACACACTCGCACTACACTGATGAGCAGTCACGAACACAAGCCCGCGAACACAAACACTAGTTCAAGCCCCGTCCCAAAGCTCCCCAGTCAGGTCACTGCGCAATCAGAGCTCTAACTCTTGACTGAGTCCTGGTTGCGCCCACCATCAAACAGTGACAAAATTACCACTTACCCACCCTCCCAACCCCGCCCCACATCACTCGTCATTCCCCAGTGTCTTCCCGCCGCGCCGGGAGGCGCCCTCCCCAGCCCGCTCGGACTCCCCTCACGCTCCGAACGGGAACTCTTCGAGCGGTTTGTCGCGCGGGTCCTCCGGGTGCCACAGTTTGGTGGTCACCTGGCTGTTGTTGTTGGTCAGCGGTCGCTCGTGAGACCAGGAGAGCGAGTGGCCGCGCAGTTGGCCGCCGTCTGCTGGGTCACAGGGCACGCGGGGTCAGGTGGGGTTTCACATGGGTCAGATTAGGTCGCACCATGTCAGATCATACTTCAAGCTGCTTGGGTAAAAAAGGAAAATTGAGATATCAGTGGGATCGATGGAGGAGAATTCCTGAACTGCTTAATTTTCAAACTTGAGGAAACGGCCACTGAATTTGAGGCGTAAAATGAGTATTAACAGGGTAGATAACGGATAATGTAATATCACGTCGACTTTGCGTAAAAAGGTTCACTCAAAGACAAAAGAAAAATCAGAGCATAGTCGATATAACATGGACCTTTATCTTTTTGACATGTGCCACGCAAATTCTGCGAGTCACCACAAGAGCAGCATCTGCTAACAAACGCACACAGCACGCTAGCTGCCCACCCAAATATGCGCGTCATTCCGCCCCATGGACCGCCGTGCGCCGGCGGGGTGTCGCCTGTTGTCTGCCCGACACCGACGAACAGAACAACAGACGAACTCGCCCCACGCGACATATTAACGAGGCTTTAACGGCGCCCGCTATCGGCACACAATAACGACGTCATCAACTATTCACGAGTCGCCGCGGCGCCGTGTCCAATTTGTCCCCGCGGCGGCCGCGACGGCACCCCAGGGTCGCGGAAGGCACAGGGGGTCATAGTGACGACAGGGTGCCACCGGCTTAGAAAGAACTAGAACGGTAAATAGATTGCAGCGCATGATTTTGACCGATTTTATTCACTTCACCATTTTATGCAAAAGCCGGATACTTGAAAAGGTACCTACCAATCCTACGCAGCTACCGTCCTCATCATGATGATTCATTTCAGATTTATTTTGGCGTGTTGCATGAACGTCTGCTCACATAAGGTGGATACTGACCTTTTGACTGGAGGACGATCTTTTTGGGCGCGTCTCCGTTGAGTTTGTGCGAGGCGTGCTGGCCGTCGTCGGAGGAGATCATCTCGCCCAGGAAACTGATGTAGCCGATCGCTAACCGGAGAGTGTCCACCTGTCGGCGCACAGCGAAACATTGTAATGTACAGGAAGACAGAAGTAGGTACTAAACCCTCGGGATAGATACGATAGGGGTCAGATGAACCCCATCGGTTGGGTTTTTTTCACGAATTATTCGCCAAAAAATCAGCGGCTAACTTCGAAATTTTCAGCTTTCTCGTTTTGCTAACTTTAAACCAGGGCTGCGGGGTCGGAGTCGGAGTCGGAGTCGGTCGGAGTCGACAGTTGTGACCGGAGTCGGAGTCGGAGTCGGAGTCGATTTTAGAAACCCGAGCCGGAGTCGGAGTCGGAGTCACCGAAAATCTGTCAACTCCGCAGCCCTGCTAGGTCTGCGGAGTCGGAGTCGGGAGTTGGAGTCGGTCGGAGTCGACAATTCTGCCCGGAGTCGGAGTCGGAGTCTGAGCTGGTTTTTGAAAGCCAGAGTCGGAGTCGGAGTCGCCGAAAATCCATCGACTCCGCAGCCCTGCTTTAAACATAGGGGAAAGTGGGGTAAATCTTTTATTTTGATTTCTTTAAAACACTCATTTCATTGAAAACATCAACAATGTATTGTGCAAGCTTTTGTGTGCAGCACTATAGAGTTAAGTGGTACACTCATACGCCACCAGTGTTCATTTACGCGGATTTGCTTTGTCTTCATCAAATTGTCCACATAAAAAATCGTTCTGAACTTCTGACATTGAGTTTGGGGAAGACGGGCAATTTATGAATCCAATGGGTCTGCAATGGTGAAAATATTTTTGCTGTTGTAGGAAAAAAGAAGCATTTCTTATAAGAATATGTTCGATCCCGATAATCACAGCATGTTGGCAATATTCCTTCGGCACAGTTTATTCTCGAATAATGAATGTGAAAAACGGTTCTACATGGCTTCTGAACCAGGGTCTATAAACGAGCATACGCCTTCTGCACGTATCTCGTATACTGCCATTTCCGAAGCACTTGAGACCAACGAGCGACTGTATCAATGCCGCTAATCTCGGGCATTTGTTGCGAGCTGTGCTGATCGTTGAAAGAAGATGGTCGTCTTGCCCTACCCATGTGACCGTCTTACCCCATGGGGTGGGGTAAGACGGGTTTTTGCAAGGTTTTGCAAAAATAGCTGCAGTTTATTTGTTGAATCAGGTCTAAGTCTCATCTTCTGGTAAATGGAAGTAAAATGTCTAAAAAAGATTTTCACTCAGTTTCCCGTTTCTATGATGTTTCTAACCGGCCGAAAAATGGCTCCAAAGTTAAGGTGCCCGTCTTACCCCACTTTCCACGACCGAAAATAATAGGTACTAGAAAATCCCAAGTGGTGACCCTGACTCAAGTGGCTTTTCACCTGTGACGTCTTTCTCGAGAATTTCTCGAGTCAGGTTTCGGAATGGTTTCAGAATGGCGATTCGAGGTATCTCAGCGCACATTATCTGTACACTTCCAGATCTTTTTTTTGTGTAATTGGCAACGTGTCAAAATCATGAAATATTGTTTGTCCTGACTCCTGTGGATTAGGGCGGGTGTCTGTGTAACATGAAAGTCAGGTCCAGACTCCAGGCAGTTGACAACTTTTGACAACAACAACATTGGTAACTCCCTCTCGGACAACTTTGTATGGCAGTTTGTGAAGCTTATTACAAATTTAACATTCATTTAAGCAATTAGGGACTAGATTTTTTATCTCGCGATAGTCCACACTTATGTGGCGAGGTTGCCAGTAGTGGTAAACGCCTGGCTTTTCTCTGGCAAGACGCGTGAAGTTGACCCGATCTGACCTGCCCCGATCTACCCCCAAATGCACAAACACATCATTTGTTTAACAAAACGAACGCCAAGCTCGAAATCAGGACCACAAGAAATCGATGGCAAAAAATGATCTGGCAGGCAAACCAATGCACCCAGGACCAACTGACATTGGTTACCGCTGGTAACCAATCTTCTTGGTAAGCTTGTTTTTTCCTGCGAAGCTCCAGCTCGATCAGGGTCTGGAAATTCAATTGACACCTCCCTGCATTCCTGAAACGAGTGCTAAGTTCCATATCACTAATCAGCTCCTAAAACTACCCTAAAAAGTCGCAAAACTCGAATTAAGTCACCCGAAGTTACCAAAGATCAATGACCTTGACCTGACCTTCAAGTGACCTGAACACCCATCATAATGCTTGGGAAAAACATAACTTCACATGTCGGCACGTTTCTTATCTGGAAGTCTGGAAACGCACGGATAGTGTGCGTCGACATCCATCCGACCGACGAGTCCATCTGACCCCCCCCCCCCCTCCCTCCAGTGCAGTGGTGCGAGGGGGATTATATCTGATTCACTGGTTGCCTTTTAAATTTAAGGTGACCCCCTTATGAATCATTCGATTCCGTAATAAAAATATTAGATACCTAATAAAGTCAACTTGTCAATTGTCATTTAGGTAGGTATCCATTGAAACAACAGATCCTGAAACTTTTTTTACGAGCGAGCGAGCGCAGCGAGCGAAGCGAGTCTTTTCAATATATAAACGGAAAAATCTCAGTATGAGCGGCCCGGCCCGGCCCGGCCCGGCCTGTAACGCTTTTGAGAGGCTTATATCTCAGCGACCGCTGGGCCGATTGGCCTGCGGTCTTTTTTGTTGGGTAGCCCCATCCCTTCTACCCCGTAATTGACTACTTGTGATACATCTAAGTCACCGTCGTGGCACGTGCCACGTGAAAAGTCAAGGGTGTTTAAGCAGTTTTGCAAAAGTAGTGATTTTGAGAGGCCCATATCTCAGTAGCGGCTTGAGCAATTGTCTTGCGGTAATTTTTATAGGGTAGCTGCATCCCTTCTACCAAAGGTCGGATACTCTCGATGCATGTGGGTCACCCCCAGTGCACGTGCAAAATACAACAATAAGAGGTGTCAAATTTGTTCCCATTTCAGTAACTCGGTAATTACTGGGGCGATTTCGCTGAAACTTGGCATACAGGTAGGCACCCACCAGGCAATGCATTCCCACGTGTTGCGGTTAGGGTGCTACTGCACGTGCGCACGTGCAGGGGGCGTTTCCAGATCTCGAGAACGGCTGGGCCGATTGCGCTCAAATTTGGTACACGGTTGGGGACCGGTTAGTAGGGTGCCGTGCAAAAGTCATTTTGGACCCCGTTTGCACGTGCGCACGTGCAGAATGCCGCTTCCAGATCTCAGGAACAGCTGGGCCGATTGCTTTCAAATTTGGCACACCGCTAGCGACCGGTTAGAAGGGTGCTTTGCACAAGCCCGTTGGAAGTACCCTCTCGCCCTTCCGCACGTGCAGGGCTCACTATCTCGCTCGCTCGTTCTTCGCCCAAAAGGCGTTTTACTGGTTTTAGATTTTAACTTACCTACCTTTTGTGTGACGAGAACGATATAATTTTGAATTTTGGTTCACTTCAGACGTCGTAAGGGTAAATGCCTAAAAAGCCCCTTTTGTTCGCCTTTGATAATATCACAAATTGGAAATTGGAAATTTGTTCGCCTTTGATAATATCACAAATTGGAAATTGTACGAGGTCATAAATTGTTCATAACTTCATAAGGGTATCCATGAAATCAGCTTGGGGTTTATCGACTACGGCACTGACGAAAGCAGATCTGCCACAAGTTGGGCAAAGTTGTGGAGTGGACAGGTCAATAGGCAGAATGGCTTTTGTGGCGGGGCGACATCGGAAAAGGCGAAACATCAGGAAGAGATGAAAAGGTTCTATGGAACTTTTGCTTATATTTTGCTCTTTCCAATCGAGAGTTATTGGCAAAAATCTGTTTGTAGCCTCAAATGACCTCGGATGACCTTTCTAGAGGTTAACAGCAAAAAAAAAGACACCATGGTCGTCACGGGTGGTCCAAATCATTGTGATTCTGAAATATTTGGACTGTTCCTATGCGTACACACGGATCTAGAGGCATTTTCATTTTTCTCCATTGACTTGTAATGGTAAGGTCACGCCACTGGCCTGACCTTAGGTCACGGATATAAAAAACCCTGACACCAACGGACAGAACAACAGACGAACATCAAAGAAACATCAGGAAGAGATGAAATGGTTCTATGGAACTTTTGCTTATATGCAATTTTTGCGCGCCTTATATCCACGATGTTCAGAACCGTCAACTTTTAATCTCAAAATCTACATGTAGGTAGCTTAATTGCTTTTAAATTGATGATTGTGTTTTTTTCACTTTTTAATCATGTGCCGATCTTTTCAATTATTTATCTATGTGAGGCAAACACCGTGACTTGGAATCTAATAAAAGTTTCATCAGATAGCTAACCAATGCACAGTGGGGATTTTTCCGATCTAGCACGTATTTAATCGTAGAGGGCAAACCATAGGTAGAATTGTAGCCAGATTGTGCACAGATGTTGGCTGGTGTGTCCTGGTGAGAATTTTACCTGTAAATGTGCATAATCAACATAGTATAGGGGGTTCAATTGGACCCCCGCTCAGCTGTTTGGCCCCTGATCAAGCTAGAGCTTCGCGGAAAAGTCAAGCGTGCTGCCAATGACGAAATTAGGCCGAATATATCCAATTTCAAAGTGCAAGGTCATAAGCTGACTTTCCAAGTCAGTTTAATGATCCAACTAAAGTTGGGAAATCGAGACCTCTTGAAACTTCGCAAAGTTAGGGTGTTACAGGGTATTTTGGGGTGCTGATCACGAATTTCATGTTTGTTTTGATCACAGACGATGTCTTTATGCATTTAGGCCAGGTCGGGTCAGGTCAGGTTAGATCAATTAGTAGGCGTCCTGCCGGCCATCCATAGAAGTGTCACCTACTACTGATAGCTTCGTAACATGGAACAAAGGCACTAGAACTACTTCGTAAATATTCAAATGGCTGCTAAAATCGAAATCAGCACCAAAAACTACCCTAGAAACAAGTAAAACTCGAAAAAGTGAACCAAGGTCATCAAAAGGTCAATGACCTTGACTTGACCTTCACGTGACCTTGACACCCACCATTATGCATGGCACCAACATCATTTCACATATTTGAACGTTTAAAACCACAAAAAGACTGGAAACCGCGGATAATGTGAGCTGGCATACGCCGAATCGCGATTCCGGCCAAACATGGTCTCGAGAAATATGCCACAGGTCAAAGGTCAGTTGGGTCAGAGTCATGAAATTTTTAGGTTAGATGTAAAATTGATGATCTCGAGGGTACCGAAAGTTTCGGCGCGATCGGCCGCTTTTTGCGCGAGTAATTTGCGGAAAACCATGGGGTTTTATCCGACCCCTTCCCCTCCCCCTCCCCACAAGTGCGATGGTTAATAAGGTTACGGTATCATAGGAGTACCACTTTTACGGTTACGGTTACGGTATGTATAATTTACGCTTGTCATCCTATTCCTAATGAATGTGTCTCAGAAAATATGCATCATATAAATCACGAAGTAAAATTATTCGCCTATGTCCGGAACATACCTATATCGTGCTGTTTGCCCTAGCGCTCCTCGAGTGGGGTGTTAAGATACTCTAATGTGAATATTCCGTGTTCAGGCAAGTTTCGGCAGCCAAACTAGGCGTTGTCTTGTGCAGAAGAAAGTGGCGAATTCGATAGGATATATTTCGGAGTGGAAAAGTGTGGAGAACATTGTTGATTTCCTACATTTATTTAGAATACCATTCCTTCAATATGGTGTCTGTAAGGGTTTTTTGTAAAGGGCATTTTTGTGACCTTAGTAAGGTTGTGGCATACTTTCTGTTTGCCATTCCATTCCTAATAAAGGTGCCTTTCAGACGATATGCAACTTTAAGACCTCGCAAGATTAAAACCAACAGGACAGGACAATGAAATTGAGCTATACTTTCGGGCCTTGCTGAGCCCATTGAGTAATCACGCATGAGTGTGAACTTTGGGCGCATTTTTCCTAGTTTTGCTGTGGGCATACAGATGAAACAATGCCATATATGAAAAATTCAGACATTTCTTAGCCCTACTGACACAAAAAATAAACAAAAATCCAAAAAATATTTTTTGAATTAATAGGCGCTAGATCGGAAAAATCCCCACAGTGCAATGGGGCGAAGAACTACTCATAGCCGTCTTCACACACCCAAAAAGCAACATTTTCGGCTCCATTAAAAAACAAAATAAACAAGCGGCATCACTGTGACTGACCTTGCTAAGTTTCTTCTCGTAAGGCAGCGTGGGGATGTGAGTGCGTAGTCCCTCGAACGCGTCATTGATGCTCTGCATTCTCCGTCGCTCCCTCATGTTGGCCGCGTGCCTCTGGTGAACCTGCTGGGTGGCGCCGGACCGTCTCCTCCGCCGCCGCCGGGAGCCGGCATCCCCGCCGCCGCCAGTGCCGCCGTCCCCGTCAGCGCCGCCGCCGGTCCGACCCGCGTATGAACCGTCATTGGACGAGCACGAGTCGTACATTGGCGACTCCATGAACTCACAGAACTCGTGAGACTCGAAGAAGCAGCGGTTGAGCGCCTCATAGTCAAGGTTCTCCATGGCGGAGTCGCTTCGCACGATCATGGGGCGGCTGGAGCTGCGGCAGACACCCTCGCCAGCACCCGAGTCCCGACCTGGCCCGGCCCCACGCGCGCCGAACGCCCAAGTCCCACTGCAGTGCCGTAAGTGAGTCCGAGAAGCCGCCTGAGAAGTCGCACTGACTTGCGTAACACGTTCGCCAATCAAGGTGAAGCGGATAAATCACAGTTCACTTGTTGCGAAAACTGCACGTGCCGGGTAAACAATGGCACCTGTCAGGTGGCTACACGTGTAAGCAAGTCTGCCAATTGATTCAACACGTGCACGACACGTGTAACGAGGCAAACGGCGTGCGGCCGGCACGTGTCGCAATGAATGTGACGAACGCCGCCGGCACTCGTGGAAACTGCGATAGGGGCGGGGCTTCACCGTGGGAGCCGGCGGGCGGCGACCAATGGCGGCTCGGGCCGATGCGCTGCTGCGCTGTGATTGGTGGAACAGGATGAGACTGCGGAGGTGGGCCGGGCCTCTGAGCTCCAGACGGGAGATAACGTTGCAAAGACACCATGACGACGGGCTTAGCATTTTATGGAGTGGTGATGAAACAGCCGTCGGGGAAAAGAAAAGGCGTCTGAGTGAGGGTGTTAGCGGCTCCATCAGACGATGTTATTACTCACAGCTCACGCGACAGCCGACAAATGGGAAAACTGGGGACTACAAGAAACCAATCACCGTCGCCTTTATGAAACGGAGAATGCACGCAAAAATGAAATAGGCAGAAATGCAGAAAGTTGTGCAAATGATTCTCCTTTATCTACTGACTTGGTTTATGGTCGTTTAGGACTCGGGCCTACATTGCCCTCGCTCGCATGATGGCCCCAGCATCCATAATATTACCCTGGGTGTTCCATTTCATCCTACCTTTTGGGAACCAAACCGATGAACTAAAGGCTTAATTCATCAAGATAAGATGACATGCTGCTGGATGCAATATCTTTTCTACGGCCGGCGTCAAAAAGGCGGCTTGATAAAAAAAAACATTGAGACGTTTGAGCGAGGTAACTGCAGTCTGCAATGGCTTATTGGACTATTGAGAAAAAAAATGCCTACGGATGACAATCTAAATATTAACGTAGGAGTTTTTACGCTTGAATACCCTAGGTCAATCTCAGTTTCCACATCCAACCATTAACTGACCTGAAAACTTCGCCATTATAGGCGAAGAAGAAGGAGGAAAACTTCGCCTACAAAGCATTTTATAGAAAATTAGCGTTATAACGAATACCTACCTACAAATTTGCAAGAACACGGAGTGGTGTAAGCAAAAACTATATGAAATTAGTTAACTATGTATGCATCCCGTTAAAGGTAGACTGCCACCTTTTTTCCACAAAACGGTTTTCACTAGAGCTGAGCCACCTATGTCCCAGACTGAAGTCGGTTTTCCGAAATTCGAACCCGTTTGCGAGAAATCGGAGACCAAAGTTCAGTTTGATGCCATTTTTTTAGTCCAAGAAAACCGACATCTCTACTGTTTATCGATAACTTTGAAACATGAATTTTCTTATCTTTTGGTAAATATATGTCAAAACTTTGATTGTTTCGAGATCAGAGAAGAATTTTGGAGAGTCAAAATAAAAGTTAAACTTATATATTCAGTAGTTCATTTTTTCCAAAAAAGTGTGGGAAATGGGGTTTAACATGGGCCAGACCCATTCCAAATGAGCCATGATTTTTAAATGTTTTACGAGCTTAAATGCAAAATAAATTAAACATGGCCAATTTCTTATGAAATCATATATTAGTAAATCATAAAATACCTTACTTTTTCAAATAAAATGTAATAATCTTATGACCTTGAAGTCTAGTGATGTGTAAACATTGTCGCTAGACATTAACCGATTGATAATTGTATGATAATCGACAATTTTTTTCGCGATTCACGTGATGATACTTTGTCAGGTGAATTCTAAAATTTTGTTTTGTCCAGGGAATAAATCATAGGCCGATCTGAGAAAACTTTTTGAAGGTGGCAGTCTTCCTTTAACGAAGTGGTTTCACCTTTTCAGCTACTCTCGGCGGATATCGCACCACTGCCACCGCAGTTCTGCTCCAGCCAGCAGCCAAAATTATTGATAAGAAGCTTCATTCAGAGTTCATTACAAATCAGCGGAACGACGATAATGACAGGTGACTCGCTCGGGATACTGCCGTTATTCTTTTCTTTTTATACACTTGAGCTTATATCCTGGACAGCCTCGGTACGTGTCAAGTCCCAAAACCTGTGTCATCCACACAGCGCTTGCAGTCCCCTTACAACAGGTTTGCACTATATCCAGATAAAGTCCGCCCCTTGTCGGTCACACCAAGTAAAAAGAGCACCCCGAACACGTAGCCTTTCGCCGGGCCGACCCCGATCGGACCGATAACGCCCAGAAAAACGACACCGTTCGTATGGTAAACAGACAACTCCCCTCGGCGGCCGGAAGCGTGGTGGCAGCTCACCGGTCGAACACACAGCCGCCCGCTGACTTGCGGTATTAGTTTCCAATAGAGTGGGTTGGCCCGTTAGTTACGCTCCATCAGAAGGCATTGTGCAGCGGGCCGGCAGGGGAGGCCGGGTGGGGTGCTGAATGCCGCGGTTCCCCCGTCCGCCCCTCCCACACACCGGTAAACCACTGTCCCACCGCCAGATTGAGCGACGCAAGGGTGGCGACTCCGCATCCTTGGTCTACTGCATAGCACAGAAGAAAGGTAGCGATTGCACATTCCAAAACGCATAAAACCACATAGCCTGACATACTTGCATGCACAAACCTCAGCAGATACTCCCATCTAGACAGCGACAGGGCGCCCCCCCCGACCCTCAGACGCCCCCGGGGCGCCCCAGGGTCGGCGCCCGGAGTACAATTAGTGGCCCCGGGGGCGTACCGCGGCGGGGAGCATCCCAGATTGTGGCCGCCGTCCAGCTGGCGCTGATGGTCATTAGCACCTCGCCGACGGCGGTCACGTGTGACGGACCGTGACGTGACGGCGATGCGATGGTGGGATGGTGTGATGGTGGGATGGTGGGGTGGTGTGACGGTGTGTTGGTGAGATGTGGTGTGATCACTGATACTATGATGGTGTGATGGTGTGACAATTGCGACATCTATACTATGTCTAGGCCTGAAGTATTCATCCGCCACGATGTATTTATTTCTGTCAATCGGTTTGGTCCTTCTGGCCGGATAGGTCGTCAGAATTATCTGAAGGTGCCTGAAATGTCTCGTTAGTGGAAAAAATGTCTCGTTAGTGGAATTCCACTATCTGGCAACTAGCCCTATGTAAACGCGGCTATTGACGAGACGGTGATGTTATGGTATGACGGTATGACGGTGTGACGGTGATGTGACTGTATGATAATGTGACGGAGTGATGGTGCGGTGTCGATCAAATATGATGTCTGGTTAGTGTGAATAGGTGACACTGAGTTTAATATTCTGCATTAGGCTGTCAATGTGGGCTGAAAACCATAGGCGGCGGAACGGGGAGGGCACCGGGGCACCGTGCCCCCCTTTGATTTTGGCATTTTAACATTAGCCCAATGGGCGCTACATGGAAAGATGGGACCAAAAGTCGGCAGTGCCCCCGCCCCTTAATTGAAGGTGTTCCGCCGCTACTGCTGAAAACGGACTTATCTAATCGAGATGGGACTGTAGGTTACTCTTCAGATTTTATTCCACGAGTAACAGCAAAAAAATCCAATAAAACAAATATTCGTTAGTCGTTACGTCATTGGGAAACTTTGAAACAAAGTTCAAATCCCGCTGTCTGTTTCCAAACACAACACCACTTGTCCTGCTGGCCTCCAAATTACACTGGCGGGACTGGCTTATCCGACACTTTTCTGAAAGAGCCGCAATGTTTTCGCTCTATTGTTATTGAAACGACCTACCGCGCTGGGCAGCTCTCACACAAAACCCACTGTCTGATCACAGACAGGGGCCCGGCGGCCTACCAAATGATCAGCGGCCCTGGCGCTCGGGGGGGGGGGGGGGGGCGGCGGGCAAACCGCCGCGCCGGAAGGGTTAAACCCAATAGGAGTATTTTCACCGTGATTGACTGACAGTTAAAACGCAGCTGGCAGCTAATGAGATTAGAATTACTCGTCCGTGCGCCGGTGGGGAGCTGGGGATCACGGGATCAGCGGCTCAGCGTGGGCAGGCTCCGGCGGGGGACGGCAGAGTGCAGGGATTAAATCCCAGCGGCACTACACACGGGCGCGGTTTAAACCCGGGGCGGGCGGGCTGTATTCCAGATAGGTGCTCAAAAGTCGGTGGAAGACCATTTCGGCAGCTAGGCAAGGTTCCAGTTGCACCAAAGAAATTCATTAGAACTTGTAGAGGTAAAGACGGAAACATTACAGAGTCGCAGTTATTTACAACCGCTTATTTACAGTAGCGAGAAGGCAAGATACATTTATCGAGAAATGGTTTAATGCTTTTTAATTATAGAATATGAAAATAATATTCAGAGGAGAACTCAAAAGAGGTCGAATAGCTAAACCAAATCTGGACGTTTTAACTAATCCAACCAACAGGACCAAAACGGACGCTGGCCGGCCCCGCTGTGCTCATCAATTGAACATTATCTGGCTGATCCTCCAGGTGCGATCTGTTGGACCACGACAGGACCAAACTAGCCCCATTGTTTGGTCCCATTTACCCATCGTTCCCATCTGGCTATCGCGTGTCGGACACGCGGGCCAGGTGTGAGAGCGGCCACCAGAGGCGACTCTGATGACACCCTCCCGACAGGGTCCGTCCGTTCGTCCAGCGGGGACCGTCCGCCCGCCCCAGTACCGGCGTCAGCGCCCCCCGGCCACCCCGAGGGCCCAAATAACCGGGGGCGCCCTGGGAGCGCCACAGACAGTCGGCCGCTCATCCATTTGGCGCGGCGCACGCAATCCGTGACGAGCCCGGCGCGCCCCGCCGCACACCGGCAATTGCGGCGCGTTTTAATGGAATCGCCAGCCACTGATGAGCGCAGAATAAGCGGCGATTCTCTCCCCCGCGCGGCGGCGGCCCGCTCCCCTCCCGGTGGACCTGAGCGGTGGTGGCAGGTCCGATTTTTCCGGGAAGTCTGAAATTAAGTGGGGTGGGCGGTTACAGTGGGTGACGGCCGCTGGCCGCTATGTTTTATTAATTGCACCGCAGGTGTGCGCCCGCCCGTCGGAGGCTCCGGGGGCGGGGCGATGGGGAACATCATTTGACCCCGGGCAGGGCAGCGCCAGGCGTTATCCATTGACGGCTGCTCGCTAGTCACCCACAAATGCCCTGCATTAAATGTGAGCGGATCCCGCGGCGGCCAAATCGCAGCCATTTGTTATGTGTCAGCGTAGGCCGG